TTATAGTCCAATGATTCTGCCTTGACTCCCCGCATAATCACGTGAGATTAGTGCCTTAGGGGTCTGTAACAATATGGCTCAAACGCCTCTTTAAGCCAGTGTAAGCCCATTATATCAGTAGTCCAGCCATTTTGACTTGTGGCTAACCTCCAAGCTTGAGGGAGGGCTGATCCTTGATACCAAGAAGCTTGATGCTCCTTCCCTTTGAGGATCACCACCAGAGGAATTGAACATCCATTTGACCCTATACATTCAATGATTGTGACCCACTCATGGTTTCCTTGGATGACTGTATGTGGTTGCTCACTGCGCTCGATTGCAGTAATAACCTTAGAGGTTGTACAGAGACCCATTGCAAAGTCAGTCTCATCAAAATTCCAGATATCATGTTCATGGATACCATGCTCTTGAATCGTCTCTAATATCATATTAAACCATTGTTTGATGATCTTTGGATCCTCCTGCTTCGCCTGCTGGTATGGTATTTGTCGATTAAACCGTGTCCGTAGTTGTGGATGGCATCTAACAAAAGTAAATGCCCAATTGACTCTATGTTTGGAGTAGAGGTAGGGGTCTGTTTTTGAAGCAGTATCTGAGCCATTTGACATAGGAACTCCGGATGAATTGGAAAATCATGTTTGTCTGCATTCATTATTTGCTTAACAAGGACTTCTTCTTGAATAGGTGATAATATATGATTATTTGCGCGTGTTTCTGAGTGCGGTTTTCTTCCCTTGAGGCGCTCGCGAAGAGTAGTTTCAGATACCCCAAACACCTTGGCAGCTTCCTTTTTTGACTTGATTTTTTTCGTATTATAAGCAGATATAGCCATTTGGATGTTAGATTCTTGAAATTTAGGCATTATGATTGAAATAATGAAGATATAATGTGTTGAAGGAGGTAGTTAATCGAGTATTTGGTGGTCGCGGGAAAACGCGCCGCTCGCCCGTGTGCGCCACTCGCCCGTGGAATACGTTACAATAGAAGATACTGTCCGAAATTCTAGTAAACGTAAATCATGACTCTGTCTCTTCAAAATCATTAATGTCCAGGTACCCGACGAACGCCCGATCGAGAAATGTCTTCCATGTCTTGTTCTTATTCTTCTTCTTCTTCTTCTTCTTCTTCTTCTTCTTTTTCTTCTTTTGGCTTTCATAATCGTCTTCGTTTATGTCAGCAGGTGATGTCAGGGTATTCGGAATGTTGTTCGCAATCCGACTAGCTAGATCGAAGTAGCTGCGAACTGTAAGATCCTTCATTTGGTAGATATGGTCGTTACGAGTATCGTACTCGACCTCGAAGCCAAATATATCATCAACACCGGTAGCATTTGCATCATTCTCAGTCTCATTTTGGTCGTGCAGCAGGGCAACTTTGTCGTTGATTCTCGTTAGGTTGGCGTAATACTGCGTATATCCGAGCCAGGACAACGGTTGATTCGAGTAGCCAGGGCCCGGAAGAGCGGAAGACGGAGGGGGTTCTGGTACTTTGAACTTTGGCGTCTTCTTCTTTTTCTTCCCGTCAATGTCCACCGTTCGAGAGTCTTCAGGTTCCAAGACGGACGGTGTGTCATGATCATTGGAATATGAGATTTCTGTAATTTCTTGAATATCGGACCAAGTTGGCGTATCTTCCAAGCCGGTGATGTTGTATTCAATCACGCGGAGCGTAGGAAAGTATTCTGGCACCAAACTGGGCGATACCAAAGAGACACTATACCTTTCGGCCAGAGGGCCACCGATCTTTCTCAGGAACTTCTTCTTCTTCTTTCTTTTCTTGGATATGTCTGTCCAAGACGCATTGCCATAAGTCTCTGTAAAGTCTTCATCCAAGTACTCCTCAATTGAAAGACCAGATGGCGGGGATGGCATGTCGGACCATTGGCCCCGAAGGGCCTCGAGATAGTTTTCCATGGATTGGACAGAAAAATCATTAGATCCCGTGTTGTCACCTTCCAAATCGATAATGTCGATATCGTGGCTGTCTTGGAACATGAAATGGTCGATATTCATATGTCCATAGACGCTCCCAACAATGACATCTCGATATTGATACAGCCACAGGGTGTACTTCTGCCAACATGTTTCATCCCATCCTTGTTTCGAGCCTGCCCTGGCCGGAGGTACATGTCCGATCAGAATGGCCTTCATCTTGCGCTGGCGAAGCAGCTTCAGCTGGACTCTGAGCCACTCCATGTGCTCAAATCCCGGCTCATCCTTGTCGTCACATCCATCCACAGCGGAGTTGGAACTGTAAAAGTACATGGTGTTGAGACTGATTACTGATAATTTGCCAGGGATGACTTCACTGGTGAACCAGCCACCCTCCACAAAACTATGGCGCTCAGACTCCGGGATGAATTTGTCCCAGACGTCCACAAGCGCCTTCGTCCAGCGATTCGGCCCTTCCTTCATGGTGTTATGCGGCATGATATCATTGTTTCCAATTGTCGGGACGACGGGGATGGAAAGGCCGAATTCCTCCTGGAAAGCATCGACGAATTGCTGGGACAAAAGTTCATTCAGGTGGATAATTTCTTCCATTTTCCGCGGTATCTTTTCATCCCTGTCATGGCGGGCGGAATCACCAGTCCAGAGTACAAAGTCGATATTTCCCTTTAAATTTCGCTCGATCCATCGGAAAGTCGCATTCATCAAGGTAAACGGGGCATCGCAATCGGTTCCTTCCGCTCCAAAGTATCCAGCAGATCCATGACCTCGATGGCAATTATTGTCGGTCGACGCTCCGTGTTTGTAGTGCGAATCGGGATGAGGATCTGGCGCGGGAAAGAAAAGGGTCAGAAAATCATTACCACTTCACGCGCAGAGCATCTCATTCGCAACATACCTGTGATATGCAGGAACCGTCCAGTTAGCCTCTGAGCCCCTCCGGCGCCATACACCGTCGAGAAAGAGACCCCATTACCCAATGGCTGCTGCTGCTCGTGACCTGCAAGGGGATTGGCGAAGGCATTGGCGAAGAAGAAACCCGAGAACAGCAGAGTTGGAATCATGGGTGCTGTTGGCCAGTTGTACAGACAATCATCAATCCCGCGAACATGCGGAAGATGCGTCTATCTCGTTATTAGCATATAAATAACGAAATAACACTCCCGTAGTCGATTTACTTCAAAAAGAAAACCCTGTAACTTACCGACCCTGGTCAGCGACGTCACTGGCACGTTGTGTGGACTCCGATTTAATCAAATTTCGCCCAATCAGGGGCAGCTCCAGGGGTAGAACAAACGAACTAGAAAAAGTAGTTTATCGCGACTGTACGTTGAATCTCAGGGAAACTTGAACCCTTTTATTCTCTTCTCTTTATGCTCGTGACCATAACCTCATCTTAGCCACAGCAACCCCAGATCGACGCGAATCACAAGAGACGTTGCTGCGGACAGTGAGAGCGCGTTGTGCGCGCACGTGGGCGGCGGGATAGGGTCTGGTTAGCCGGACCGTTAAGGACCTTGTGCTGGTCTATAGTGTACAGGACATATTGCGCATGTCTGTGCGAGGAGTCTAGTAATCACGAGATATGGGGAATTATCAGATATGAAGAGAGTCGTAGTCAAATTTGAGATAACATACCCTCGTACGGAGTGTACACCAGGGATTCTGGATAACTTGTACGGAGTACTGATCTGATAATCCTGTCACGGGATGCGGGGTCAGTGTTTTATCATAAGGAGTAAGCAACTGTATATTCATTGAAGAATGAACACTCATTTGGCAAGTCGTTGATCCAAAATAGCCACAATGCCTGGATTCCCCTCAATCAAACCTGCCTTCACGGTCCAGGTAGGTCTTCCAACGTATAGATTTAAGAGATAGCGCCTAATCATGCTATGCATGTCACTATTGATGCACCGTTACCGGTGGGCGCGTGGTCCAGACAAACAGCCGCTATACGTACTATAGACGAATCCACTGAGGCATATATCTGCAGGCAGTGCATCGAGAACCGCTAACTTGATGGTTGTGGTCAGTCTTCCCACCCCTGCGACATATCAACGTATTATAACAAGACTTTTAATCTGAGTTTAACAGCCCATGCTGGGTAACATATTGAAGAGTGACCCGGCATTTGAGCCCACTATTGATGCAGAATTCGTCGGCGTTGGTAACGATTATATCCACGCCGATCCGGATGGCCAGCATCTGCGCTTGAACGCTCATGGCGTTCTCAAGTAAGTACCCGTTGCAGACATTTGTTGAACCAAGCGCTGACTGGCTGTCTAGAACCAACGATGGAGCGGTAAGTACCGAGTTGTTGTCCGGATAGGATAGAGAACTTATCAGAGCGACTTCCCAGCTCCTCTATATAAATTATACCGATGTGGTCGCTATGGGACCAGCAGAGCAGGCTGTGTTCGGCGATACTGCTTCTGATGGCGCAACACTGTTTGGGAACTCTTGTAAGTCTGCATGAGCATAGATAGCGATACAGTGCTAATATCATAGTTACCCATTTCACTTTTGAGGTAAATCCAACTCGATGGAGGCAAGTTGGTCTATTTCTAATATTTAGATACTATAGACTGACAATGCACGCTACAAGGAACTTGAAAACCACGTCTTCGTTGGTCAAGGATGGTTCAGGACCGAAAAGGGCAAGCCGATTGTCGTCGAGTACAAGGTTGGCCGGGTTGTGAGCAGCTGATTGTCTTTACCCTTGTATACCTGTCGATGATATCAATATAAAACGTGTCTTTATAAGTACATATTGTGCTTTGAATGCGTAGCATCTCATCCCAACAACGGCCTCCCCTCCTCATATTCCCGATCCTCATTTAATCCCTCGTCACCACTATCACTAAGCCTCCGATTACGATGGTTCATCATCCTCAGAGCCCCCAAGAACTTCCCTCTCCATCCTCCGTTGCCTGTATTACCTCCTGGCCTCCTTTCTCTCTCCCGCCACCATCCAATAACCCTTTTCCCGCTCCAAGCAACCCCATAAGCCAACCCGATGCCCATAAACGTCGACAAAACGGTCACAACCGTAGTCAGGAACGTGATGCTACTCACATTGCATCCGAGTCCCGAAGTCCTTAGCTCCCAGCGCTCTTTGTATCCGAGTGGACAGATATTTTCGGAGCTTATGGGGGAGAGGATTGGAAAGTGGCTTGGGTTGGGGGCGCAAGTTTGCGACTGGTTTTTGTTAGTTTATATATTCTAGTGAACAGTACACATAAAATGGAAAAGAAGACAAGCATACTATAGGACACCAGCTACATTGTATATCCCCTTTTAAACAACGTTGACATGCTTGTCTTCGCCAGCAGATATGGAAGAGCGGGTCGTTGATGTCGTAAATAAATATAGTGTCGGTTTGGTTTGAATGCGAATCAGAGTCGAAGCTGGAATTAGAGGAATGGGACATCACATGAAATGTTGCTGAAAGATATTGATAGAAGTCAATCCAATGTATTGTATTTTTTCCCTGGTAGATTGTTCGTATGGTTGCATTGGCTTTTTATGCGACGGTAGTTGCTAGTCCGAGGGATATCCTACGGAGATGGAATGATGCGGGGGCGTACAAAGTGACACACTACCATTACCCATGTGATTTTAAATAAAATGTGGAAAAATGGATAATGCGATTGCTTTTGCAAATAAGAAATATTGCCATGGCGACATCCTCATCTAATACCTTGAGGCTTGTGTACGTAAAATCATATATTAAACATCTTCCCGAGCAATAGAAAATCGCATAGGACGATGCTAGCACGTAGCATATCATTCCGATGCAGACAGTGCTCGAAAGTATTTCTCTTTGAAAATAGTAGAGTATAATCGCTCTATTCTGGTAATACACCAACTCTCGCTCCGAGCATCGAACGTAGAACTTAGACAACCCGCTTGACCTGCAAACAAAACCGAGTGATCAGTACAAGTCCAGAAAAAGGCGGTGTATCCTTGACTAACCTCGAAGAATCTCTTCAACCACCAGACCTGGAAGACACCTTCTCCGATAAGCACAGCAAGCTGGAAGATACTCCACCACTTTACTCGCGCGTTGGTGCTCTCCGCTGTGTTCCGGTGTACCCTTTCTCTCACCACAATGTACGATTGTTCATCCTTAACCTGAGCCAAAGCCTCCGAGAGTCGACGGACTGTTGAAAGAACAAGAAGTGTCAGTGCCGATTCCCACAGATCGGGGGACGAAGGGGGAATTCTCCGTCATACCTTCAGTGTCCAAAGGATCCTGCGCCTCCGATTCAGGGACGTAGACAATTCCATGCACGTTAAAAGAGACTTCCTTGGAGTTAGATGTCCAACCCTCGTTGCTGAAGCAGTAGATGTATTTGCCGTCGACGTGGGCAGTGAAACTGTAGTCGTCGGAGGAAACAGCCTGCTTGAAGTATTGACGGTTTCTCAACGGATCCTCGACCTGGGGTAAACAGAAAACATTCCCGTCAGTATCTACCTCAGCCCAAGTCATGACAACGTCCAGAACAAAATAACGGTGCGGGCATCGGAAAGGGAATCGGTCTTACCCAGAAATCAATCTCAAGGTTCCCACTACCTCCAAACTCCCTGTCACCGACCTGGAAAGTGACAGTCATCCGGTCATCTTTATGCAACGGTTCATGAAAGCATTCCCTCGAGTGTGCCCGGAGTTGAATGTTGTGTGCTGCCACGGCGGTGATCCAGGTCAGCGCGGTGATGAGCAAGGTCGCTGGGGAAAGCCGCATGGCGGATGGATATTTCCTTGCGTTGCGGTTTCAATCGACTCCGGAGGTTATAGGTGCGTAGAACTCGTTGAAGTGAGGAAATGGGTGAGTCGTAGTGCTGAGTGCGGACTGGTAGTTGAATCTCCGATCCGACGCGCAAGGTGTTCACTGAATTCACTGGGCGAAAATTAGAAGCTCGGACCAACTCCAAACAACGGCATTATGAGTGATAACTATGGGCACTTCACTACTTTAACCATTACTTTCGAAATGGGCTTTACTACTCGAAGAATATTTTGAAAATGATATAATCTGAAATATAGGCAATAGCCAGATTTAATGAAATTGATTGATGTAAACTATGCTGCGAACAAAGCTGTCTCGAAAATGAAATTAATATATACCAATGCAGGCTAACTCACCATTGAATGCCGTATTGTCCATAAGTCTCAGTTCCAGTCCCTTTGCAGACAGCGTGAGAACCCGTGACTGCTGTTTAAGGAAGCCACAGAACTTCCTCGACACCAGCTGACACCACCACTGACCAACAACCGTCACTTCGAAGAACACTCGTTTACCTTCATCCATTTTTATTCGTCCTTTGTCAGATAACGCCCTATTTTGTGTTTTTTTTTTTTTTTTTTTTTTTTTTTTTTTTTTTTGGATGATCTTTCAGATACTGAGAGATAAGAATACTCGCCATGCCCGTTTTCTTTGTGGACGGAAAGCAGTACAGAGTCCCCTTCAAGACCCTGTTCAAAGGCAACAAAACCATCTGCGACCAGATAATAGCCGATCAGGTAACCTGAATTGTGTTTTTCTGATTGATCAGTGACCTGACAGATGCACTATAGCGCGCAAGTACTGTTCTACCAGAAGTCACCTTGGAACAAGCCACGGCCACCCGAGCTTTGAACGCAGCATCTACCAATAACCAGACAGGTGGGAATTCGCCATCTCATTGGTTCAAGAAGTGTGTTATGTAACGGCTGCTAATGAGATCACAATAGATCAAGGTTATCGTCTATGGACAGCGAGGGAAGACCGACTGCTCCGAGAACTCGTTGCTTTCCGGGTGCCATGGAGCCGCATGTCCATCTCATTGGGGAACAGACCTATAGAGGAAGTTAAGAAACGTTGGGACTATCTTCGCAGTGGAAGGGCCCAGAGTGCCGAATTTGGAGTCGATGGCGTGTTCTCGACCGACGGGATTGCCGTTGGCAACCCGCATTTGAAGAAATTTGCGAGAACCACCCAGCCTGAGCCCAAACCAGAGCGTCATGTTTCCTTTGCCGACCCACTTGTTACAGCAGGAGATGTAAGTTGAGCGTTTCCCCGGTGTTTTGGCTTCTCTTGCCCCAGAAAGAAGGAGACTGACAGGTCTTTTACTGACAGACTGATGACGAAGAAGAAGAAAACGGCTCCTCCCATCCACCGACGACCAAGAAAGTGTATTATATCGACGAGGAATTCTCACTAGAGGACGTGGTCATGTTGCACAACATCGCAGCTAAATGGGAACGAGACCGATGGCTGGCCATCAGCACCCGATTCAACGATATAACCCAGCGGAAAATCACACCTGAACAAGCCAAATCGGTGGTCGACAATTGAGCATTCCGGAGTCGCACCCTTTCCCCCAAAGAAACCCCCGAGAAAGAAATTGTCAGCATTGTGGATATCTTTTACGCACTCGTTCAGTGTCGTAACCCCGTTCGTGCACCTTGTCACAAAGTTTTGTCCGATTCAATGCGATGAATCAGGTGGCAAAAGAAAAGGAGCGCCGAGTCCGCCGACGAGGGACTTTTCACTTTTTGTTCACCCACAGTTAGCATCCAAGGTTCGGACGAGCTCGGACGAGCGCGTACTCGTCGCCGGAGTTTGACATCATGACTTGCAATACCCCGTATCCATAACGCTGTACTTTGGTCAATATGAGCAGAAGAGAAGTCATCCCCTTTGCCATCAGATACTCGGATGCTCCTGCATAAAGGGGGATATAAGTTTCTAAAAAAGATTTACTTTTCTAGTGTTAGTCTATTAATAAAACGAGGGCAGCCACAAGAATTATCATGGTTCTATCAGATAGCAAATAGGATAGTAGCATTAGCCACATTAGGACCCTAATACTCCATAGTTGTTGTATGCCAGAGTCCAGACCGGGGGGATAAAATGGGCGCTGTAAGTCTCATATGGGGCTACGCAACTGAACCCTGCAGCGTCCCGTACGGTGGGATTCGGCTCCAAGAATAGCCGATCGCCGGGTGCATTTTCCCTATTTGGGGGAATCCAGGAACCGGGTGAGGGCTCCGAACGGAAGTTCTGGACTGGCTGTAAGGCGGCGGATCTCAGGAGGCGACTTCATCATCTTTCTCGGCTTGTCTGTTCCACAATTGCTCTCCTCGGGTCATTCTTTTTGATTTATTAAAGTTCTGGAACCCTCACTTTTGTCGTTCCCTTTTTCGTCCATTTTATTTATACCTGTGTGTGCCGTCTCTCTTGGTACTCTTCTTCCTTAAATATTAGTCCACTCACTTATTTTCTTCCCCGTCCGCTCTCTACCTCGTTATCTTATCAAAACATAATGCGTGTTTCCGGTCTCCTTCCCGTTTTGCTGGCGGCTTTGCCGGCTGCCGCCACTAGCAATGATGGCCGTGGTCTGCTGGGTCTGGCGCTGGGTAACCAGAACGCCGATGGAAGCTGCAAGGCGACCTCCGACTACAAGGCCGATTTTGATGCTATTAAGAGCGTGACAACGCTTGTCCGCACGTACTCCGCTAGCAACTGTGACACCGCCAAGAACATCATTCCTGCTGCGAAGGAAAAGGGTTTCAAGGTTGTGTTGGGTGTCTGGTATGCCTTTCGTCCGATTATCTATTTGCAGTGTGATTAGACTAATGCATTCTCTCGTAATTCAGGCCCGACTATGACCAGTCGTTCAACGAAGACTTCGATGCCCTCAAGTCGAGCGTGCACGGAAACGAGGATACCGTTCGTGCGATCACCGTTGGCTCTGAGGTTCTCTACCGGGGTGGTTTGACTGCCGAACAACTCTTAAACCGCATCCAGCAGGTCCAGAAGGAGTTCCCCGACCTGAGCGTTGGATTTGTCGAAAGCTGGAACAAGCTCAATGACGGCACTGCTGACCCCATTCTCCAGGGTGGCGTGAACTATGTGTAAGACGACGGACGAGACTGGGTATGACTGGACCTATCAGCTAACGTTCGATGTTTGACAGTCTTGCCAACGGTTTTGCATACTGGCAGAACACGGCTATTGACAGCGCCCCGAAGACCTATTTCTCGGATATGTCGCAGGCCATGGAGCACATTCAGCAGGCTGCTGGTGACAACGCGAAGAACATCCGCTTTGGTAACGGCGAAACCGGCTGGCCTACTGGTAAGGATACTCTATATCAATGGACTCCCAAAGCAATGAATCGGGCTAACTGACTGGCACTAGATGGCGGTTCGGACTACGGTGCTGCCAAGGCCGGCACTAAGAACGCTGAGCAGTACTGGAAGGAGGGTGTCTGCGGTATGCTCGCCTGGGGTGTGGATGTCTTCTATTTTGAGGCGTTCGATGAGTCGTGGAAGCCCTTGAGCAAGGGTGACAACGGCCAGATGATGGACGAGACTCACTGGGGTCTGTTCACTGCGGACCGCAAGCTCAAGTTTGACATCTCGTGCCCGAAGAACTAAACCCCGCATCGGCGTTTGATGACTACTGTAAAAAAAAGTTGTCTGATAATGTTCGCTTCTTGTACCATATGGGATTGGATAGGAATCAAAAGTAATTTCGTCCATCTGGATAATTACCACCGAGTTGGAAGGCTTATATAAGCGAATGGCGTACGGTACGGTAATGGCTAACGCATCCATGGTTCAGCTCATATTTACCCCTGAACGGCGACACGGACCGGACAGCAGCGCGCGCTCCCAAGGATAACAGTAGTATTGTTTACTCGCTGATTAGATATTATCTGGGGTCGAGTCCAATTGTCGTTAATTTGATTAAATGTAAGAATTGGATAGAAGTACTATCTTAATTCGTAGCTATATACTTGTAGAATACGGAGATGGCGGTCTGTACAAGTATCGTACTTGTATACGTAAATTACTCTTTACCCCCTAAGTTATTATTGATTGGCCTCGGACTCAACTCTCTTCACGTTGTCCTTAGACTTCGGAGAATCTCAATCTCAAAGCCAACTCTTTCTCTTTCGTTCCTTTCCCTCTATCTCACTAACGGCGCGCCATGGTCCACGTTGCCCCATGCCCTAGGCGTCTGTGATCATCCTCATCTCGACTAGCATTTCGCTTCTGCGTTTCCTCTCCGAATCTCGTCTCTCTTATCACCGCCTCGGCCATCGTTTTTTGATTTCCTCTCTCTACCTCCTATAAGCCCTCCTCTCCCTCCTCTTTCCTACCCGGTTTGCCGATCATTGGCTGGGCTGCAAGGTGGTCTTCCTTCGAAACGGTTCGCCTTTCCATGCTTCATCATTCTGGACGATAAGCGGAGCGGCAAGCAAGTGCTTGCTGCAGGAGTCGACACGGACGACGGTATGTTTGAGTGTGTGCATGCGATGATTTGAATATGCAGTTGCTATAAACCCAATTCTTGTTCCACGGTGGCTTTTTTATTCTTATTCTATTCTATTTTTCTGTGGTGACACTTGATATTCTTGTGCTCTCCCCCACTTGATCTGTTCTATTCGCTCTCTGCTTCACTGCCATTGCATTGACTACGCCGATTTCCAAATGAAAGCAAAAAACTACCAGACCCTTCAGTCACTAAACGAACCATGTTCTGCGCCTTCAGATCTATACCCGTCCGTTCCTTCCGTTACATCGGCGTCTTCACCGTCGCCGCATCCACCCATCGCCCATACTTCCTTTCCCCGTGACGAGTCATATCTGTCGGCCCCATTCGCATCGCTCTCCACATCACCAGGTGTGTCGAATCTCTCGACTGGCGGGTCGCCTGGTCCCCTGGAACGTCTCCGGAGACACACTATAACCCCGAACCCGCCTACTTTCCCAAATCTCGCAAGATATCGCAGCACCGGGGAGTCGTTGAATTCGTCCCCGGAAAACCGAAGACCGGAAAGCAGTGTCTACTATACCACCGCTTGGGGTTCCCCGTATGCTGTACCTAGCCCTCGCACGCTATCATTGACTTTTAGTCAGAGTCAAAACGCTGGTGTCGATCGTGAATCGGGAGCTAGTTCCCCGACCTCGATGCCCAGTGGTATATTTCAAGAGATTGAACCGAGCAGCGACAATAATAATAATAATAATAGCAATAGCAATAACGGATTTTTGAGACCGTCCGGCGGAGAAAGCTCTGCCAGGAACCTATACAGTGGCATCCTGGACCGTTCTCCGGGACGAGATCTGTTCGGCAGGAAAGGAGGAAAGTCGATCAAGGACTTCACTCAAGATTGGATCAACCAGTACCTCTCGGGCCAGCCCAGAACAGAGCGGAGCAATTGGCTTAGCGACGACTCAGGCAGCGAGGCTCCATCGTTCTTTACAGCGCAAAACCATTTTGCAGACGACGATTGGTTGGGTCTGGAAGAAGACAGTCGCGACGAGGAACTTTTAAGGACGCCAACACTAGCCGATTTTGCGAGCAGGAAGAAAGGCATCGGCCAAGGCGAGAGCAGTACTAACAGTACTACTAGTACGGCCCGTCAAAAAATCAAGGACTATATCCACAAGCGGACGGAGACGCTCAAGCAGGAGGACTTTTGGGGGTTTGCATACGATAAAGATCCGCAGCCGATCGCCATGGACAACACAGAAACTCTGCCTCCAACCGAATCGGAGGCAAACAAAGTAGCCTCGCCCGTCGAGAAGCCACTGCCACCACCGCCTGCAGAGGAACCAATTGACAGGACACCACAATTAGCATCTAGTAATGCTGAAAATGTTCAGAAATACGCAAGCAACCCCCGACCAGATGCTCCCAAACCACCAGTCTTAAGTAGAACTGGCACCTCGACGTTGCAACGAACCAAAAAGAAGATTCCTTGGCGGGGGAAAGCGTGTATCATTGCACTTCCGCTGGAAGACAAGAGAGGTTCTGAAGAATCGGGGCATCGTCTGATGCGCCCTGAGGATGTTGAGCAACGGCTGAGGAAGTGGGAAGAAGAAGGATACGACAACAGTGGATTCACTATCTCTAATCTGAATGATCAGTATGATACTGCGGCCATGGAGCTTGGAGGCTCAAGTCGACCTGTCTTCCCCGACCCCACAGACGTACAGGGAGAATGGACAACTGGGGAGTATGGAGTCCGGTTTCCAGATAAGGCTGTATGGGATTCCTATGTCAATTTCCTCCAAGAGGAGAAGTTGCGAGCTCTTGGTGTATCGCTGGGCGATGAGGAAGAAGCGCAACCGTCCGTTTCACCAGCATCTGCTGCCATGGGTCAGATGGCTCCTTTCCCTGGTTTAATCGCGTCACCACCCATCCCGACAGCATCGGCGGCCGGCAACCCGCTCGCTGTACCGCACCCCTTCTCTCCGCAATTGAATCAGTCGACGAATACGCCTAATGGAATCGGCGCTCTAGCATCTCCTGCTTCGCAATTCAGTGTACAAACACCT